AAGAGATAAGTCCCCATCATGATCAATGGGACCATAAAACTCCTGGTGCAGTGTGTAACCTCTCCCCACGGGTTTTCGAAGTAAGATGAAACACACCAAACTATTTAAAAAACAAAACAAACAAACAAAAAAGCGCATTAATTTACACTGTGATATATTCAGGATTCTTTCTAGTCAAATCTTCTTTCTGATCTGCCCAATTAAAGCAGGCTCTCAACAATACACCAAACCCCCTATTTCTTGGACATTTTCCTCGTCTTTGGACATGAACAAAATCTGAAGAAACCACATATTCCCTTTGGAGTTCTCTTCCCTCAATCTAACACTTCACATCTCAACATTTTTAGAAACAACTACTGCCAAAGGGCCCAACTGTGGTACCTTCACAGCGATACTACAAACACCCCAACTGCAGTCAGTCAGACCGACTGTGAAGAAATCATTGACTTGGGCACAGACACCAGAACCTAGTCCAAATTTCTTACGTCTATCAAACATTCTTTTTATCTCCTACGCATGAACAAAACTGTATTTTTCATTTGTATACATTCGGTGGAATAAAAGTGTAAAAATTACAAAACAGGATGCAATGAAATATATATAATGCCATCTTTTTTTTTTTTCCCAAGGAAAAAACCCTTTCTTTCCTTACTTTGGGGACACATGGCAAAACTAGTATTTATCTAAACTTTTCAGAAAGCTTGAAGTGACACTTCATAATTACAGTATAGTTCAGCTCAAAGACAAAGTGAAGAAACTTCCCTACAATTCTTTATATAAACTTCCTCCTTGTTTCTCCATGTACCAGTTGCATTGGTATCGCTATTCCAGTTTGTCATAAACACAGTCACCTTGTAACCCTTTTTATCAAGCAATCTATGCACTACCTAAAAGTACACTACACTCCATCAGACAAGCTATAGGTTTACATTATACAAACATTCCGATTCTGCCTGCTCAGCGCAGGTTGTCAATAAATGCAAGCAATTGCAAAACAGCAATGTGTGTTTTTTTCCTTAAGAGAACACTGATAGGAGCCTGCCAGTTCTGCAAAATAAACTCTTTGCAATCTCTGCAGCTAATCTGTCAACAAATTACTATTAAAGTCATACCTCCTAAAAGTTCAAAAGCATTCTGGATTAGACAAAAGATGCTGAGTTTTATACTCATGGGGCAGTACTTGAAGTTACAGTATCAAAGAGAATCTTGCTATTGATGTGGAGAGGTTTGTATTTCTGCCACCATGCAACGCAGCATTTCGTGTCTTGCTGCTATATATTAGAATTCAACTTTGTATTCATTCTCTTTGTTGAATTTGTATTCTTGTTTCTCTGCTAATAATGCGAAGAACTCTTTAATGAATAGTCCTGAGGATAAAAATAAAACACGATAAATAATATTTATTTTATAAGCTAAAAGAAAAAAAAAAAGGAAGAACTGGCTAGGACTGAAGCATCAAACCTTCGATTCGATTAGATGTCAGAAACCACTGAAGCAACTAAGGCTGCGATCATGTACACTAAAAGGCAGTTTGTCCCCATGAGTCTTTATTTATTACTCCTTGGCAGGCAAGAGTCACCCCATCATTACGTACTTTCTGTCCAAGCTTCCCTCGCCCAGCCTGACCTTCAGCTTGTGGGTCACTCCAACACCCATTTTGCACCTCCCAGATGTTTTCCGTGATGCCTCAGAGCCAACAGATGTTGCCAGACTCTGCCTGGTACCCCGTTCCCAGGTTTTCTGCCCCGTCCCTTGGTTCTGCCTCTGCAGGCACCTTGGGAGCAAGCTCTTGAGCCCCACTGCCTGACTCCATGCCAAATGCCCCTTCTGATCTCTTTAGGAAGTCCAATGACCCAGGTGACCTTCATGCCTACTCCAGGTTTTATAGGCAGGTCGCCAAAACCTTGCCCCTTCCACCTCATCCTGACAGTCATTCCCACGAGATGCCAACCACCGGCACCTGTGGAGTCAGCAGCAGCGGGAAGGCAATGCCTCCCACCTTCAGCAGGTGCCAAAATACCGAGGGGAAAGGGTTTTCCTTCCCTTTCAGTCTGGTTCTGGGGGTGATTTCTTCCATATGTATCTCCATTTTTATCCAACTCTTCCACAGATGTACTGTCCCTGAAGAGTCACTTGTATTGCTTTGGCTTTCTTACTTCACGACTACAAATGTAAACATCAGTTGGAGCTATTTGGTTTTATTATACATAGCAGAACTCATCCCCGCATTTGTTACCCCAGCTTAACAGTACATTTTACAAGATCGCTAATGCTAAAATAATTTAGCATCGCATCACTCTCTGTCTCCTTGCATGACAGAATCACCCTAAGATGACATGGGAAGCGTAAAATTTGTCCTACGAGTCCTCCCTGCACTTACTACAAGAGTGCTCACACCATACACTGTTCCTTCAAACATATGAACATCTGTGGTGCTCCATATTTTTCCACGGTAAAATATTTACAAGTTTGTAAACCCATTAAAGCTTCCTCAAAAAACTGAAGCATTTCTGTTTTCCTCTCTCATACTAACAAATCTATTAGTCTTTATAAATTCATAAATTTCACAAAAAATGTGAACCAAAATTCACCACAGATGCTTTACACAAGCCATTGTATGTCCAGGTTTCACTGCTCAGCCACACTCATCACGGGAATACACAACCACAACAGCAAAGCTCAAACTACCCACCGCTGATTTTTTTTTTTTTTCCCCAGACAAAACAAGTGCCAGGTGGCAAAAAGAAAAGATTTGAATGAAATGCTCTTAAGAAATAGCTGTTTAATTCAGAACTCATTCATTTGTATTGAAGAAGCGTTTTATAGAACGCATTCTGTTAAGTGACCTGAGAGCATATGTTGTATACGGAGAAACATCTAAACATTATGCTCCATGTTGTATGTGTATCTGTAAATGCTTGCATTAGCTGTCTGAAAACAACGGGTTTTTCTTCTTTTCAGCGTTTAAAAATATTTTCCAAACACAAAGATTGATATTTTTATGCTAGTTCTGATTACCCTTTTGTTGTTATCAGGTCTTTTCTTTTCTTTTTTTATTAATAACTGTTTTAAACTTTGCAATCAACTTGCTTTCTAAAAGATGAACTCCATGGAGAAGTTAGTCATCAAAACCAATTAACAGCAGAATTCAAACACAGAACATAAAGGTCTTTTAAGAACTTGGAGAAAAGCAAGCTCCCCGACCACGTTTATTGTACTGGCAGAGGATAAATAAACTATAAGCTAAAATCTGAGCTGTGTGAAAGCAATCCCGAGCCTGGCAATCCTGCCCCCCAGCCCCACGCCCTGCTCCCACGGGGGCTGGCAGCACACGTGTCTGTGCCAGGCACCGTTTGGGGGAGGGCTGGAGGACCCGCGTAGGAACGAATCGGTGCCACTCCTTAATTGACCAAATGGGCGGCTGTTGAAGACACAACCCATTACACGGGAGATTACAACGTTATCTAAGGCGGCATGAGCCCTCTCGATGGCTATGGAGAAGCCTTGGCACAAGGCGCCGGCAGCGAAGGTTAGTAGCTGGTGGTAGGAGTGGAGGTCTGAGCAATTCTGGTCTACGGTTTGCACGTGTTTGCACGACACCCCCTCCCCCCCCGTTTCTCTCTGCACAAAGCAGCATTGGAAAATTCCATAGTGCTCCTATGGAAAACACAGCGTAATTAACTCATTTTGCTACGAAGCCTTTTTAAGACGAGACCTTTGTGTTGAACATATTTTACTGTTCCACTCCTCTTCTACTGTCCTATATTAATCAAAGCTGTAACCCCTGTTGTCTTTGCACTGCGAATCAGAATGTGCCCCTGGCGAAGAATGAGGGAAAAGTCAACAGGAATTAAGTTTCAGTGCAACTGTTTACTCAACTGTGGCCTGCAGTTATTGAAATTTTATCCGTGGTTTTGTGTGACTACTGCAGTAATGAATTCAGCATGGCTGTGATTTTCTCACTGATGGTATTCTCACTTCAAGTAAAAACCTGTAGGATGAAAATGATTGAAACAACCAAAGTCTATGCATTTAGTATCATCCATTTTTCTGACTTGTTTAATTATGGCAGCTTTCTGTCTTATGTTGGCAAATGGGGTCCCCTGCTCCTCTGCAAGCCTTCAGTTTGCTTTGTTTTTTGAGTGCAGGTTTTTTCTTCTCCACAACAACCTGCTAAAAAGATCACTGTACACTTAGGGGAGTCTTAACCAGCTGCCAATCGGTTATTTAAAAGGTTTTAAGAATGCTTATTGCATTAGAGAAAGTGCGGGTGAGGCGTGTGTTCACCATGGCTCTGCTGCAGCCTTTGTTCCCAAACACGTTAATGATACATGCCCAGTACTTTGGTGTAAAATTTCCTCAAAGGGTTTCAAAATTTTATCAGGGAAAAGAAAAAGACAAAATGTATCATGTGGATAATTTACACTGGTGAACTTGGTCACTTCCCAGAAAATACACTAATTAAAATACAAAGGCAAAACGCACAATTTGGTTCCGATTCTTCTGAATCGAGGAGTAGACACAGGGTGTATTTATTTATTTATTCTGACATCTTGCCGCAGCAGATACCTCCATAGCCTTTCTCACTAATAGAAAACATTCTGTTGATAGAGGTTGCTAGGTTATATTAAAATTTGTTGCAAAAACAAAACTTAATGTTAGTATATTTTCCACCCAGTGACATATTTTGGAAACCAGTTATTTGTATACAGTGGTTCACTCAATCACTGCCACCAGACTCAACACATTCAGGCAATGGAAGCAAGCCCTGATCTTTGGGTATTTCCAGGGAATGATTAAAAAAGAGCCCTGGAAGAAAAGTCCATCGTTTCCCTTTACATTAACGATTGCAATCCCCTACAGACAAAAATGTACAGAATGTCGTAGGCAAGTCCTAAAAGCATCCTCTGACTGGCAAATACGAAGGGGTTGGGGGAGGGGGGGGTAAACGCTTCATGCTTTTCCTGTAAGTAGGAAACTTGCAATATGTCTTACAGTACCTGCTGTTGCTGAAGATGTGCTAAATCTGCAGCCCCAATTTCAACTGAAGGTGTCTCGCCGTTTGATCTCACTTCCCGCAGGCTGCACTCTAGTAAATGGTTGCCACCGCTCGCTCCATTCTGAATGGCTGAACCGTTACTTTTTGTCTCAGTCCCAGATTCTTGCATCATGACTCAAAAACCTGAAATAATTTAGGGGAGGGGAAAAAAAAAAAAGCAGCTGTTAAAACAGTTGCTGTATATAAGGAGACATGCCCTGTTTTAAATCCTGCCAAACTTGTAAACATTTGTCATTTCCCTTCATACGATTTATCTTTCATTAATGGTTCATGCTACTAGTTTATGTTTATTTATCTGTTGGTACAGCTATAATTTTAGTAAGTTAGTTCTATTCTAAATATAGTATTATTTGCTCAACATCTTTTTTCCCTTAGAGAAAAAAAAATATTTTTGAACGAACACACAGAATCCATAATTAAATTTCTCTAGTTACATCTGGATGCTTTCCTTTGAAATGGATGAGTCACTCTTTGCAACATATGATGGACAACATCAAAAACTTGATATACACTATGTAGGGGCAGGTAGGCGAAGCAGACCATTCACTATTTTGGTTTCCGTTCATGCCATGATATTGCCAAATTAGCACTTTTTGTTACTCTGAAGCAATTTAGGCTAAGTCTGGGATGTGCTGGACACCAGTTTTCATTTTGAGCAAACTCCTTCAACTGCTCACAGAATTAGTCTCTCTGGCAAATTTCTTGGCTATGGATTTGATCTGGCTTTGGATGTGCTACAGCATTACAGTGAAGAGCCTCCTGCGTTACTTGGCTAAACATCATCTTAGGAGCCACAGCTATTCACAGCCGGCCCTCTTGACTCTTGGTGGATGTCCGTCCCTGGGTGCTCATCAACTGTATCAGTGGGCCACAGGCCCCACAACGAGGATGAGGACGACCGCCCGCTTGCTTACCCCAGAACTCCGGGGATTCAAAGGTCTTTGGGAACTAACTGTCAGCATTTGTGCACAAGACCCCCCCCAAACAAAGCACATATGCCAGTTTTCAGCTGCAAACTGCTACCTTTGAGATATTTTGATGAGTTGTTTTATAGGTATTTCCACCTGCAAGGCCCCAAGTTCCACAAATTAAATGTTATTAACCTCCTCTGCTTCCGCCAGCTCATCCCTCCCTCCCTTCGTGCTCCTCCTCTCACCCTTACCCGGGGGAGATGGGGTACAGTAAGCCAAGCTGCGTGCTCCGAGCACGTTGCCTACTCCACGCGAACTCACCACTTGCACATGTGAGCCAAATGCATCTGTGCAGGGTAGTTCACCTTGAAAGTAAGATGCTTTATATTTAAGGAAGAACGAGTTTCAATTCAATAACCACCCTGCATCAAAAGGAAGAAGAAAAATCCCTTCCCTTCCACTATATAAGGGCAAATATTACTCAGAAAGGGCAAGAGAAAGCAACGCACTTCAACAGAAAAGTACCAGGGGAAAACCCTTTCCCTGGGAACTCCACACATGCCTAATTCAGAGCCTCCGGCCACCGAAGGCACGGCACCGGCTGGAGACAGAAATTCCTCCTTCCAGCGCTGGCTCCTGGGTGCCTGTGGCCCTAGGTGACATCCAGCATCAGACCCCATGCACAGAGGTACGCTCCAGCCCAACGCACCAATATCAGACCTCTCATTCGTTTGGTAGCTTCAGACGTACATAATGATGATCCATAGGGCTGATAATCAAAATGTCGTAACTGAGAAGCAGCTGACTTAACGAGGGCTTTGTCACCACTGCGCTCCAGCGTTAGCACTCCTCGCTGATTCACGTCCGAGGCGGGTGGACCGCT